CCACAGATAATTGCAAAATTTGTTATGAAACATCATCAGTTTTAGAACATGATGTGCAATTTTGAATTGAACAGTTGAGTGAGAACTTATCTGATACACAGAAGAGTATAATAATAACTTTTTATTCTTTGATGATTTTTCACTGAAATGACCCCGAATGTTGATCGAAACGTTCAAATTAAAGAAAATTGTTAAGCAAATTAAATATATTTTATTCACAAATTTATATAACGTTTGTGCATTAAGCACTCCACTCTTATTTAGGTGGCTCTTACTTATACTTGGTGAAGAAAATTTTTTATGTATCAATTTGTTTGCTACTCCCTCTCCAGATAATCTCTACAAAGAATTCTATTATAATGCAATGATAATATTTTCATATTTAGGACTTGTACTTTATTATATACATGTATTAAACGTCTTTCGAAGATACACACACACATATATATATAGATATATATATATTGTCCTTCTTTTCTGCTTTCCGAAACTCCTCTTGCTCGCTATTTCTGATAGCGACTAAGATATCCGAGAATTTTTTTACCTTTCTATCTTGTAGTTCTCCTTAAAAATAAATATATGTAAATGCATATTTGAATACGTCTTTGGTAAAACCTCGGTGGTTTGCACTTTTGAAAATCATTGTCTGGTCGCGCGACTCATCTACCTTTGCGTCTCAAGAAGATCCCGTTAGTACACATCCCGATAGCACACATCCACTTACATAAACCGGTGCCTAATCATTTTTCACTGCTTTATCAATGAGAATATCTTATTTTAAATTAGTCAATAAGCGATCGTGTGCTATCGAACCTCTTTCACGTCTCAACTATTTTTCTCGGCTACTGTTTAGCGCACGATCGTATGCCAATACCGTATTTTCGCTAACGCCAAAATGAGACAAACTTTTCAAAATTCGGCACATTAGGCTTTTTTGACATTAACTTCTAGACCGGCTTGGTAGCAGGCTTTATTACTTTTCGTGAGGTAAACGGAATTTTTGATTTGTGGCGAAGACTTCAAACGCGGCGAGCGTAGAGAGTTGAAAAAGCACAGGAGTTCTCTCAAGGATTAATACGTGACGGGAGAAATTAATTTAGATTGTAGATCATAATTCATAACTGTACGACTACCTTGATTTACTAAAGTTGGTCGCGACTCGCCCTCTTTCTCTTCTCTCTTCCTTCCTCTTCTCCCATTACACATGGATATAAAGAAGATTTAGTTAATCATGTGAATGCTATCCACAGCTGATGCATTTAGTCCGACAGTTACTTAAAATATATTATTACGAATATATGTACACATGTGAACTTATTGAAATAATCGTTATAAGTTATGTGTTTAGTGAGGACAGTTTTTAATTAATTTATGTGATAAAATATAAAATAGTTAGCTATATAAGCAACGAGCATATTTTACTCGTAGTGCAGTAATAATTTCTAGTACCGCGTCAGTACCTCGCCAATAATCATTCCTACTTGAAATTTTATTTTTTTTACTTACCGGGTTTTAAACTTGGGACCTCAAGATTATGAGTCTTGTACTTTATCCATTACGCCACTGTGAAATATCATAGATAATCTGTTTCTATGAGATCCTAAAGAGGTAAAAATTATTTAACCATGATTTGCGAGGCACATAAGCATTGGCCCATGAAAGTTTCTTCTAAGTGTCTCAATTTCTTAAATAAAAAAATTAATACTCTTAATTCGTACGACACTTTTCCAGATGAAAGGACAGACTGAAAAAAAACATTCTATACCATAAGTAATTCGCGCTAGAATGACCCGAAAGTTTTCTTCGCGAGATGCATTCTGAGGAGTAGCGATTATCGTGGTTCGACAAACGTTTAAGGAGTGAGTTAAAACAAAATTGTGTAGGCAAAGTTAAACTACGAGATTACAAGAAGTTAACGTACAGCATATCAAATAAAAAAATGTTTGAATCATAAATATTGGACAAGCAATTTTTTTATAGGGAAAAATGTAAATGTGTAATAAGTGTATAATCCTCTTGTATACGTATGTATAAAATATTAACACGTATTAAATATATTAAATCAAAATATGAGTATATAAATCATAAAACATAAAAAATGAAAATAAATCTATATTTTAAGAAATTATACGTGTTGTTATTAATTTTTAATACGTTTGTAATATTTTTACGACGGAAGTTCACATAGATCACAAATACGAAAGCGTTTCAGAAATTCCAGCGGACGCTTTTGCGAAATTCCTTCGGATTTTTCAGATTCAGTCTCAATTGCGTCCGTTTTCCAATGCGCAATGGGTGACGGGAAAGAATAAGGACATGTGTCGAGCTTTCCTGATGCAAAAGAGAGGATTCACTTAAAATGCACTGTGGTGTGACTGATATTCCGGAATGGCGCGTTGGAAACGCAAATTTACATTATTTCGAGTGCGCGAGCACTTTGTAACCGACCCGAATGCATCGACATAACGATCAATAGCGACGAATATCGCGAAACCGTCTTCTTGCACGTCAGTGCCACCATTAATTGAACCTATTTAAATTGCTTATACAGTAAAAAAAACTGTATTTGTTAGAAATATTCCACTTACGTTCTTGTTAACAGTTTAGGTTGAATTTTTTAACATGTTCGAGTGTTAATTTAATATAATGTAATTATATTATTTAACAATTTTGTTGTGATTAAACATTTTTTGTTAATTTTTTGTTAACACGTGTGCCAAATCGTTTACTCAAATTTTTGGGTTAACACGAGATAACATATTAGAAAGTGATACAAACATTGTATTAGAATTACAAGAAATGTAACACTTCGACGTAATTTAGAAACAAATAATATATAAATCATATTTTATGTTAAAATTAACATTTGTAAAAGTTAAATTAACATATATATTCATCATGTATTCATTTAATGTTTTAAAACTATACTATTTTTATCATATTACTCACAAATTATATTATTCTAACATTAAAAAGTAAAACATCAAGTTAACACAAATATTCAAACGATATAATATATTAACATTATATTAAAAATTTAACATAAAACTTTTTATAAGGACCGATTTTAACAAAATGTTTTTTACTATCTGCGACTAATTACATTTTTGTGATATAATTTTTATTAAAATACTTAAAAATACTTTTACAAAATATTAAAAATTTTTCACATAATCTGAATAAGAAAGTAGATTAAAAATTCTAAACATCTGAAGAGCGAAGAGTGTTCTCATAAAGATTTATAATTTCGAATTTTTTATATTGAGCGAAATTGTTATTTAGACAAGTCTGACAAACCATTCGGACGTCGTATAATCAAATAGGAATAATTGCGATCTATACAAGAGAAAGAAAGAGAATGAGTGTGAGTATGTGTGTGAAAGAGAGAGAAAGAGAGAGAGAGAGAGAGAGAGAGCCAGTCCGGGATTTTTTAATTATCGCGATATGTACATGTCGCATTGCGATATAATGCACTGCCATAACCATCGCATACGAAAGAGAATTTATTCACTGACCGATAAAGCAGCGATACTTTCCACGTAAATAGGACGTACGCGACAAGCCAGTAACGCGGGATCAATGGGTCACAGAATTTTTCGAAACGTCGTTAAATCCCGCGCGTGTCAGCAACATCCCGCTACCGCGTGCTTCGATACGGGTACACCTTCGTGCGCACGCCATTATTTTTAATATCGCCGACACGGTCAGCGATTGCGGTGTAAGCACTTTTTACCAGATACTTGCGCGAGATCGACGTGATTTAATTTAGGACCGATACGCTGTGTACAAAATTCTGCTACCTCCTTAATGTTGCGATATGATGTACAATGGGTGTTTGAAATCGAAAACTTTGCCGAGAAATAAATTTAAGACCTCAATAATATCAATATCCATATCACAATATCAAGGATCTCCAAAATTAAAATAATTTATTGAAGCTACTACATAGCAGAAAACATTTTGTATTTGTATTAAAAACAGTCATTAATGATATTGGAGATATGCCAAATTATTATCATTATTGATATTGGAGGTTTGCCTAAGAAGTGGCAATCAAATAAAATTTGATATTCTGGATGAATTTAAACTCTGGATCTGTGGCATAAAAAGCAGTCACGCTCTATGCCACGATATTATTGTAGGGCCACTTATTCATTAAATATTTATTAAATCCAACAGATAAACGTATGTTAAAATTTATACACATAAAGTATAAAAATTATGTATTTATTGGAAAATAAGAGAATAAATCTATTTTAAAATAGATATATTTCAATTTGCTACAAAGTATCAATTTTCTTTTACTAGAAATTAGTAAACTATAAATGTGTGCGCTATCCAGTTCTAGTTAACGATATTATACTTAGATACCAAAAAACTATTCAGAAATCAAACTTTGCCCCACGCCGATTTTAAGGTGTACACAGAAAGAATTTCCTCCTATAGAAGAAATCATCAGTAACAATTACACACACGCAAGCTGTAACATACTTCTTAATTAACTTTATATATAGAAATCAGGGAATGGAAAGTTACTTTTTAAAAATAACTAGTTACAGTTACTCGTTACCGAGTAACAAATGTAATTAGTTACAGTTACAGTTATCGCTTTTTAAAAGTAACTCGTTACAGTTACCGTTACTTGAAAAATAACTTTTCGTTACTTTTCCGTTACTTTTTTAAAATCAATTTAAAAATGTTTTTTTGCATTTTTTTTT